TTCCACTTCTTGGCTATAGTGAATAATGCTGCAATGAACATAAGGGGGCATAAGCCTCTTTGGATTGTTGATTTCAGGTTTGTTGGGTAGATACCTTTGCATCATTATTTTTGCCAGCTAACTATTGAGCCAATTGTAGAAATAATTAGCTTGTTGTAGGGTGCTTCCTCAGAGACTGGCATGTAGAAAATCTGACTTTATTCTTTCAGCCTCATTATTACTATTTGTAAATAGTACACTTGAATAAGTTCTTTGGTGGATGAAACATGAGTGAAAGGAGATTACAGATTGGCTTGTCCTTATCAGGTCTTAATTAATTCTCCAAGATTAATGAGAGAGAAGATGGTTTGTCTTTGTTCTAAAAGACAGCCTTACCATGGGAGAAGTAGTGGATTGTTTGAAGTAAACCTTGTGTTGCTTTGTTTACCCACATCTTCCACATGATTGACCTCTCCTTCCTTGATATGCTCTTCGTTTGGGTTCCCTAACACCACAATTCTCCTAAATATTTTCCTCCCTCTCTGATCTGTCTTTCTTAGTATCCTGTCATGCTCTTCTTCTTCTGCCCAGACTTTAATTGTTGAATTTCTCAGGACTTAGACCCTCTTTTCTTCTCACTCTTCATTCCCTTTCTTTTTTTTTTTTTTTTTTTTTTTTTTTTGTGAGGAGATCAGCCCTGTGCTAACATCTGCCAATCCTCCTCTTTTTTTTTTTTTTGCTGAGGAAGACGGCCCTGGGCTAACATCTGTGCCCATCTTCCTCCACTTTATATGGGACGCCGCCACAGCATGGCTTGCCAAGCAGTGCGTCGGTGCGCGCCCGGGATCCGAACCAGCGAACCCCGGGCCGCCGCAGCGGAGCGCGCGCACTTAACTGCTTGCGCCACCGGGCCGGCCCCTCTTCATTCCCTTTCTGCATGATTCTATTTATTCCCTTGGCTTGAAAGATCAATGTATAACGAAAACTCCAAAATTTATATCCTAGCCCAAACCTCTTATCTAAGCTCATGCCAGAAAACTGGAATCGTTCTTGACACTTTTTTACCTTCTTGACTTTCATCGGTATGCATAAACACGTGCATTCTCTCCTTCCCTCTCTCACACACACACAGCCACACCCACCCCGTATATCCTGTCAATCCAGTTTATTTTGCTACTAAATATTTCTTAAATCTGCCTCTTTCTGTCCTTGGCCACTGTCACCCCGTCTTGGTCAGACCATTGTCATCAAAAGCCTGGACTATGGTAATAGCCTACTTACAGGACTCCAGGAATCCACTTGTGCACTCTTTAAGTCTGTTTTCTTCTCAGCAGCTAGAGTGATTTTTAAAAACGTTAACAGACAGAAAAACCTAACCAAGTGAATTCTGCTTTAACCTTTTTATGGCTTCTTATTGCTCTTAAGATAAAGACCAACATTTAGCATGGTCTGCAAGACCCTCCTCCAGCTCAGTTTACTTCAAACATGCTGTCTTTTCAGAAAGCTGAGGACTTTTTCCCTCTGGAGTCTGTTCCCAGACCTGTTCTCCTGCCGAATTTCTATTCATATTTTATGCCCCAGCTTAAATGTCCGTTTTTCACAAAGTCCTTCCTTGATATTCCTCGTTAGATTAGCTCCCCATCATATTTTCATTGCACCCACTGTGTAGTCTTCCTCTCTAGCACTTACAGCAATTTTAATTAATGATTTGTGTGATTATCTGTTTAAATATCTCGCTTTGGAATCATGAGCTCCATAATGACAGGGAGAGTGTGTTTTGCTGACACCTGTAACCCCGGCACTGAGCACAGTGGCTAGCACAGAGTAGGTGCTCAGTAAGTGTGTGTAAAGGGCAGTGCCTGCCTTCTTTCTTCCTTATGCTTCATGACGATTAGTCTATTTCTCTGGATCGATTATAAGGAAAATGAAGGGATGTAATGAAATAAGATTATGAACTTTTACAAAAAGTCTTAAAAACTATGGTTCTGCTTTGGTAAACCTTACTTTTAATGTTTGTTACCATCCATCTTTTATCTTAGTTTGAATTTAAGAAAATAAAGTCCACAAAGAGTGTGTGCCCTTTTGCCAAGGTTTAAAAGATAGGCACATTTAAATATTGGCACTAATTAAGCTAACTAATTGAGTAATTTAAAATATAATCTGATTTCTTTGTCTCTGGCAAACTCTAACGCCTCTGGCTCTCCCTGGCCACAATAGCTGCTTCCCTTGCTGTTCTCTTTGCCTGCATTTGAGACTTTAAGGTCTGAGAACATTGTGCTTTTGAAGCTTGTTAGTGCTATGAACAGATTCGTGTGGGTAGTGAGCAAATTATTTTATTTCCTCTTGCTTAGTAAGCTTGATCCATGAGGCCATTTGCACTGAGAAAAGCTAAATCTATAAATATAATCCTAAGAAAAAAGAAAAGTATTAAATCAGTTGCAATTTTTAAATATTACTCTCTCATGAAATCTCTTAGTTTAGGTTTAGTTGCTAATCCAATCTGTTTTATAGTTAACTCTAAGATGTTGTTCATTGATACCTCATTCTATCTTCAGAAATAAAAATGCAAATATCTACTATAATACCATTGTTAAAGCTGAAACGTTAAAAGGCCTGTTGTAGAATGGCAGAGATGAGATTCTTTAGAGTAATTTTCATCAAGCCAATTTGGAAGATGGCTTAAGGCTGAGCAAGCTGATTCATTACCTACTTTAGTAGTACCTGTTGTCACAGTTGCTACCTTTTTCTCTTTAACAAAATCTCTGAATTTGAAGAAGTTTATGAACACTTAAGTGATCAGTCATTAATATTTTGGACTAATCAGGAGAAGAGGAGAACTAACTCAGTGTTGTTACTGTAATTTTCATTTATTGAGTTTCATTTCAATATTTCAACTTTGGCACTTTGATGGTGTGTTGAGATCTTACGTTCTTAGAATCCTTTTTCCCCTTTCAGAGTTTTAAAGCTAAATGAAGTAGAAAATAATAGTGCTCAGCATCAGATTTCTGAAGATTTTGTCATTTTGGCCAACAGGGAGAAGAACAAAGTAAGTCAGGAGTACTTTAAAATCCTTTGTATATCACTGCCTTTCTATATAAGAATATAATATGCAAATGTGTTTGCCTTTTAGTGTGGCTGAAAAGAACAGCACAATCCTGTAAAAGTCTGTTCATTTGTCTGCATGGGTAGCTGCTCTTAGCCCCATGTACCTGTGAGATTTGAAGAGAGCTGATTATATTGAGTTTACCTTTTGCTTATTTCTATTTCTTGTCTGGTTTTCTCTTTAAGTTTTTATTAATAAATTACTGACCTTTGGATTTAATTAATTGTGCAAACAGAGAAAGTTGTGGTAGATATAAATCTTTAAAAATCACGTACCTTGCTTTAACTCCAGATGGTTCATTTCTTTTAACATACAATTTACAAACATGAAGAAAATCATGCAGAGGGAAATTTCTAAAAGTAAATCCACTCTTTGTTTGTTGTACTATGGTAAAGCAAAAACAGAAGGGCGATTGAGGTAGCAAATTGTAACCTTTGTATTTATTTTTGCCTATTTTGGTGTTTTATCCATTACAAACTTTAACAAAGTATTTTTACTAATTGGAGGATCAGAAATCTGATTCAGAATTTTCTCAGTTGAGGAAAGAATTGTGGATATTGGTGAAGAGTTGGTTAGTTTTACCAAAATTTTTAGTACAATTTTGCCATTGACTGCATATAATAGGACTTGTCATATCTTTTTATTTCTCTCCACATGATAGAATGAAAACTTACCCACTGTTACAGCTTCTGGACGGGTGGTAAAAAAAAGTTTTAACCTTCTGGATGACGACCCAGAACAAGAGGTATTACTTTAGCCAGAGACACCAAACTAAACTAGTGTGTATTTACCCCGTGGTTTTATGCTTACCAGACCCTGGGGCAGAGGTTGGGGGTAAGGAGCTCCATGCAGGCTTTAGTCGATAGCATTGTGTGTACTATTTCAACCAATGCATCCCCATCATCATCTCTTTTCATACATGGAATTATTCATAAGATTTTGTTTGCAGAAAGGTTCGTAGGACTGAAATAATTTGAAAACACTATTAGCTTATTGTTTTATTTTGTTAATGTGCACACTTTCTAGGGAAATCTCTTAATAGAAAATTCTTGAGTTATATCCTGATGACTTTATGGCTTTTGCCTTATTTTTTACTTATTAAACATGGATTTGTTTGTTAATGTTCATGGGCCAGGGGAGGAGGGTCTGAGGGTGTGGTAAATCAGTTCAGCCTCTGGTCTCAACTTGACATTGCTAGTAACTGAGCTAATACATTTTTAGCCTTTTATTTTAAAGAGGCATTGGAAGTACTTATGAAATCAACTCACAGTGATCATGCTTCAAATATACAACCATTGCATAAATACTAAATCCATTTAGACCATATAACATTATTGTTTGTGTGATTATTTCCAGGTAGAAATGTTAGAGTAGCCTTCTAAAGATACTTTTTGAAAATCTTTTAAAATATGTTGGAGGTGGCCCAGTATATAGCTACTCTCAAAAAAGAAAAAATATATATTTATTATTTTGGACCATAGAAATCTATTAAGAACAAAGCAGAAAGCTCCCTACCCTGTATATAAAACTATATTCAAGAAAAACATACTAAAATTATCAAAAGAATAATTGGAGGGAGAAGGTAGTAGCAAAAAGAGAGATACTCTACATCATGAGATTAGAAAACAAAAACTTTTAGCCTGTAAAGGAAAAGTTGAAAGGGGTTGTGACTAATATCTATAAAATTACTGATGTGTAGGCAAGAAGTCACCCTTTGAAGCAAGAAGTCACCCTTTGAACAAGATAAGATTAAGGCAAAAAAGTAAATAAAAAGGAACCGCGGGTAATAAACCTGTGTAAATTTTTATGTCATAGGTGGTAAAGGCAGAAAATATAAATGGATTAAAGAGCAGTCTGACCAAATGTAAGCAAAGGATTAGTGTGTGGTGATTAAGAGAAACTTGCTGTGCATGCCAAGATGTGCCTTCCTGTGGTCCATCCCTGGATGGCTGGGTACAGATCTGCTTCCCCTGTGAGGCTGTTGGAGTCTCAGGTTTTCTTCCTTGAGACAGAGTTCTGGGGTTAGGTTTTTCTCTCTCTTAAGTCTTTACCATCATTAATCATTTCCAGCTAACATCTCTTATCCCAGTCTTGTTCTGTGAGTTGGATTTCAGTTCCTGATATTCTCCCTCAAGTAAAAGCAGCCATTTTTGCTTTCTTTAGGGAACCAAAAAGAGTTTAAAGGAAAAAAAAGGATGGCAAATAAGAGTCATAAAGAATATATGATGGGCTATCACTTCTTGAAACAACTTGTGTTTTTCTGATGTAAGAACTTTCTGAGCACAGTGGGAAGTCTTCAGGTTTCAGAACTGAGATTCATATATTTAGTCCTATCTGGGAACCAGTGAACACAACGTCAGAGGCAGCAGTTGAATACCTCTTTTGAATCTGGACAAGCTCTGGTTTGTGGTCATAATAGAGAATTTCGGTTATACTTTGGCTGAGATCTGTGTAGACTTGGTTCTGTTTGTCAAAATCTGTAGGATACTGCTTAAGTCTTGAAAATCTTGAAAAACTGATGTTTTATTGAGCATATAAGTAGAAATACATTTCTACCTATGCTTCCACCCATTCATTCTTCTTTGTACATATTTTTATAAGTAATAGAATAAACTACAAATGTGGAAATAATCCTAACTGAATAACTAGATTTTGCCCCTCTATTCCTCTACCTTATCCATCTATTCCCCAAGACTTTCAAAATTGTGGACTATGAAGATGAGTTGGATTTGCTTTCTGTGGTAGCTGTTACTCAAATAGATGCTGAAGGAAAAGCTCACCTGGATTTCCACTGTAATGAATATGGAACTTTACTTAAAAGCATTCCACTAGTGGAGTCATGGGATGTGGTGAGTAGAGTCCATGGAATACAAAGTTGTAAGAGTTTTCTTTATATGTGACACGTATTAGAACAGATGTTACTGTGTTCCTGTGAGTCCAAACTCACCTATACTAATGACCACATGAAAGGGGTTATCATCGTACATGTAGGACAAAACATGTACTTCTTAAGCCTTCCTCCCCTAGGGACTAGAGGATGCCTCCTTACCAATGGCCTTGAAGGTATGGCTTTATGTTTTTTCCTGAGACGCCCTATTTATTTCCTTACCATAGTCTTTGGTTTTCTCCCATTTTATAAGTTTAGATAATGTTTAAAAAAATAAAAGTATACTGTATTGAATCCCTACAGTTACTTAATAGAGACCATATCTAAGCATATAGGGTTTCCAGGCACTCTTAGAAGCATTTGTCTGCTCTTCTGAGTATTACAGAATATAGAAGTTATAAGGAACAGTAGACATTATTTTATCCAATCTTTCCTTTATCAATTAATAACCTGAGAGGTTTAGCAACTTGCCCACAGTCACACAGTGTAATAGTAGCAGTGTTAGCAATAGAATCTGGGTGTTCAGACTTCTAAGTCCAGAACTCTTTTCATTCTCAAGAATTTGTGTAATTCTTTTCTGATAAGTAGTCTGCATTTCCACAAATAATGAAAAAAACTATTTCTGGCAACTATTTTGCCTCCAAGTGTATATTTGGAGATCCCTAGCATGTGTGTTGTGACATTTTAGTGACACAGTAGTGAATATGATTGTGTGAAGAGGAGATTCCATTTGACTGTGTTTTCATTACAGACATATAGCCATGAAGTCTACTTTGACAGAGACTTGGTACTACACATAGAACAGAAACCCAGCAGGATCTTCAGCTGCTATGTTTACCAGATGGTATGTGACCCTGGGGAAGAAGAAGAAACCACAAACAGAAGTTATGAAAAAGAGTGAGATAATTTAAAATTTTTGGGATGTAACTTATGAGACTTTTAGCCAAATACCCCAGCCGCTGTGTCCAGTCCTCCTTTTTATTATCTGCATAGCAAGTTCTCTAGAATTTTCCAGAATAGGTCTTGTGTTGACTTCAGATGACTGTGACTACATTTTTAAACTCTTGCCATACAGGGTGGTGTAAAGGTTTTTTAGAAGGATGTCCCAGGAAGTCTAGCATTTTGGAGCTTTTAGCTAGGTGGTGATGCAAATATAAAATGTTGGGGAGCAGAGAAAGATTAATTCCAATTGTTGGGGATTTGGGGAGAGGGTCATTGATGAGGAGGTGTTTAACATGATTCTTATAGAAGGGTATGGAATTTTAATTGGTAAGACTAGGAGGGAGAGAGAAAAATAAAGATACAAAAGGTACAGAAAGAAATCCTGTATCTTCTATAACAAACTTTGCTTAAGGATGAGAAGTGAGATCTGTAATATGAGAGCATACTTTTGAGCCAAAAATGTGTCATCACAGTTTTCTAAAAAAATCTTATATATGTATGTATGTTTTGTATTTGTCTCTAGTATCAGGAATTGGCTCTAGTTTCCAAATTAACTGTCTTTTCTGCCATGGTTTTATTCTCTTGGCTTGGTACTCCCATTGATTATTTGTGCTTCTATTATAGACTGATGTAAAAGATTCCAAGCAAACTCTTAAGTGAAATTTTTTCCGAGATATAGGCATTTAGCTCTTAATACATCTAAGAATGTTGCACTCACTTCACCATTCTCTTTATTTGTTAAGTCTTCCAATTCTTCTTAGGTGATGTTTTCATACATATGCAATAAGATAAAGGTATCCTGGGTCACCGTTCTGCTCCCTGTAGAAGAGTAGGTAAAAAAGGTCCCAGGAGTTGTTACTAGCTTGGGAACTGACTGATTGGCTAGAAAAAGCTTTTGGCTCTTAGTTGTGAAACAAGTATTTTTTCTTCTTTGTTAGAACCAATCTAAATATGATCCTTCAACTCAGATAATCGTTCTTCAGAATGTTAAATAAAAACAACCTAAGTAAAGGGAGAAAAATGTTTCTTTGTGCTTCCTATTTGAGAAATCTAGTTGCTTGCAATCCACATGTTCAGCACATTGCTCTGATTCAGCCTCGAACTAGTAAAGATAGAAGGGGAGGACAGAAGTGAAAATAACTGCTAATGCAAATTTAAGGTTAGAATATGGGATTTTAGCTTGGATGATTTACATTAAAATCTTTCAGGTTTTCCTTCAATTTTGGCTTGATCCCATGTTAAGAGTGATGTGAATTCTGCCCTTGAAGTTTGCAGATAAGTTTCAGTCTTATTATGATTAACAGGACTGAGGAGAGAAAGGTGTTAGCTATTCCAAAAGTCAAGGAATTAGTAGCAGAGTCCATAAATTTAAAAGAAATAGAGGGGGCCGGCCCCGTGGCTTAGCGGTTAAGTGCGCACGCTCCGCTACTGGCGGCCCGGGTTTGGATCCCGGGCACGCACCGACGCACCGCTTCTCCGGCCATGCTGAGGCCGCATCCCACATACAGCAAGTAGAAAGGTGTGCAGCTATGACATACAACTATCTACTGGGACTTTGGGGGGAAAAAAAAAGGAGGAGGATTGGCAATAGATGTTAGCTCAGAGCCGGTCTTCCTCACTAAAAAAGAGGAGGATTAGCATGGATGTTAGCTCAGGGCTGATCTTCCTCAAAAAAAAAAAAAAAAAGAAAGAAATAGAGGGAACAAACCTAAAACTCTTTTGCCCGATAGAAAAGATCGCTAACATTTTAGAATAAGGGAAAATATTTATTATTCCCAGCTAAAAATAAATCTTTCTGAATCTGATCCTATGTATAACCATTTGGGAAAGTAGAAGTGATTACCTTATGAGCCAGATGATAACACTATCTCCATATATTAAATCCTAATACCTTTATATGTACTAATTGAAAAATCCGTTCTCATTTTATGCATATTAAAGGTACTATTTAAGATAATATTTGAAGCTTTCAGAGCATTTTAGAGACATGATTGTGATTACAATGTGCTAGATATTGCCCCAGACTTCTAATTAGACACTAGCTATATCTAAACAGTCTTGCCCAGTGAATTTACATCTTGAAAAACAAGTCTGGTAAGAGGGAATAGATTCAAAATACCAAAGAAAAGAAAGATACCAGTGTTGTGTGGGTTTCAAAGCAGAAGTGGTGCTATATAAAAGCAGAAAGCCCCAAGAGTGTTTCAGAAAAGGATGTCTTAAGACTTCAGTCCTGTCAGGTTTTTTCAAAAAGAGGTTTATTGAGTTTCCCCCTTTCCTTTAAGTCATTGCCTTCTTTTGATGAAATGACTCATCTATTCAGAAAGGCATCTGAGAACTATCTGAGATTCCTGGCTGCTTTTTTAGTGGGGGTGGAATACTTCTAATCTAGATATGAACTGACCACTAAGAAACTCCTAATGTCTAACCACTGCCCAAATCAAACTAGACTAGGATCCAGTTGCCATATGGACCAGGCGGGAAGTGTACCTAATGTGAAAGACAGTAGGGAGTTGTGGGCAGTGTAACAAACAGGAGGGCTGTGCCCCAACTAAAAGGACAAGCTGCTACTACTAAGTTTCAGCCAATTGTAACATTATGTGGGAATGTAGGTTGCATGATTGTCAACAGGATGGTTGATAAAAAGATGCTGACAGATATAGAAGATAGCAAAGAATGTGGGAAATTTATAGATAACACACACAGCAGGAGACAATACAGCATGCTCCCGAAAAAGTATGGGGTTCCCAGCTCCCCACAGTGGCCTGCATCGTTCTGCCACTTGCCAGGCATGAGATTGCCGTTCTCTTTTCGGGGTGGAGGGAAGTGGCCCTCCTGCCCCACCTTAACCCCCCTCTCTACTTGAGTGTTTTAGAGACTTTAGCTGTGTGCCTACCAATTTAACAGGTGCTGGTGACAGGCATAAAACATTATGGGTAATTTCTGAGTGTTTAATGAGAGAGTGAGTGACGTAGGGTAGCTTCTTGCAGCAGGTCCTGATATTAAGCTGATAAGAGGTGTATTTCTGCGTTTCACTCCTTGGTCTAAGATTCTGTATTCTTACAGTATCAATGCAGCAAGATTATATTCTTTGACTTTCTAAAACATTTCTTGCAACTATGGGAGAAAACAAAACAAATCCTATCATAGTTACTGTTTGAACTACCTAGTGAGGAGACAATATTATTGTTCTATTTAAATACACTAAGGTACTCCACGTTCTTCCATCAGCTGAATGTTTTGTTTCTTGTACATACTTTTTTCTAATGATAACTTATATTTATTGAGTGCTTTCTATCTACTATTCACTGTGATACACGTAAAATGAATTTCCTCACCTAACATTCAAGGTAACCATATGAGGTATGAACTACATTATCCTTCCCCATTTTACAAATGAGGAACTTGAAGCTTACCGAAGTTAATTTGCCCTGGGTCTCACAACTAATAACTGCATATCCAGATTTGTTTGATAGAAACTTATGCCAAATTTCCTCCAAAGCTTTCAAAAGGTAAAGGATGTTATAATCCCATATATCGCGTATTGACAATTATAGTGTAGGTAAATAGGAAAATGCTTTATAAGTGTTTCTTTAATGATGATTGCATATCCCAATTTTGGACAAAGTTTGGATGAGACACAACTGGCCTGTTCACACTATAACGATCTAAAAGATGATTCTTCATTCAAATGGTTAAAAGTAGTTTTTTAAAAAGGTACAAAAAATGGTGCTCATCCTGTTTGTGGTGATGATAATGCCAGTGTTAGTAATTACTCTTAATTTAACTTGGCTTCGTTTTCAGTAATTTTTATATTTTCTTACCTTTCTTACCATGTTTACATATATCGTTTACCTTTTAGAATCTCAGGGAAAATTCAGGGGCTACTTTCTGGTCCCTATGTTGCTGTAGAATCTCTATCTTAAAGCAGGAATAATTTATTTCAGGCAAAGGATATATAGTAGAAAGATAAGACCAACTGAGGGCTTTTCCGCATCATTTTATTATGAAAGTTTTCACACATACAGCAAAGTTGGCAGAATTTTACAGTAAATACCCAAATACCAACCACATGGATTCTATATTTTACTCCATGTTTTATTACTTATCTATTCATGTTACTTCTATAATGCATTTCAAACTAAATTGCAGACATCACTATACTTCCTGCTACTACTTCAATATGCATATCAAGAAGAGTTTAATATTGTTTAGTTGTTAAAATTTTTGATGTGCACTTACAGCAATGAAATGCACAAATGTTAAGTATAAATTTGCTGAGTTTTCACAAATGTATACACCTGTGTAACTCAAACCCTTTTCAAAATTTAGAACACTGCAATCATACCAGAAAGTTTCTTCATGCCTTTCCCAGTCAGTCCCCACCCCACCTCTCAGGTGTAGCTATTGTTCTGATTATTTTGCCTCACAGATTAAGTTTGCCTGTTCTAAAACTTCATATAAGTGAAATTATACAAAGCAGAATGTTTCTTTCACTTAGCATGTTTTTAAGAGTAATTCATATGGCATGTATCAGTGGTTCATTTCTTTTTATGGTGGAGTATTCTTTTGTATGAATATGTCACAGTTTGTTTTTTCCATTTTCCTGTTGATGGACACCTGGGCTGTTTCCACTTTTATTTTTACTGTTATGAATAAAGCTGCTGTGAACATTCTTGTACAGATTTTTTTGTGAACATATGTCTTTGTTCCTCTTGGGTAAATATCTAAGGATGGAATTGTTGGGTCCTAGGGTGGGTATATGTTTGGTTTAATAAGAAACTGCCGCACCTTTTTTCGAAAGGATTGTACCATTTCACATGCCTGCAACAATGTATGAGACTTCCAGTTGTTCTACATTTTCTCCAACATATGTGGTTGTTAGTCCTTTTATCTTAGTATTTATGATGGGTGTGTAATCATTTCTAGTTGATACTTAGATTTTTCTACTTGTGCATAGCAGCCCTCTTATCAGGTCAACCTCTGTGTCCTTTTTTGTTTCTTTGGTGAGGAAGATTGGCCCTGAGCTAACATCTGTGCCAATCTTCCTCTATTTTGTATATGGGACGCCACCACAGCATGGCTTGTTGGGTGGTGTGTAGGTCCACACCCGGGATCCGAACCTGTGAACCCCGGGGCCACCGAAGCGGAGCACACGAATTTAACCACTACGTCACCAGGCCAGCTCCTCTTTATCCTTTTTAACACCACTTCCCCACCAGGAACTGCTGAAAACATTCTTTCTTTGTGATAATAGTTAAGATAACCTAAAATTCAGCTCTTTCAGAAACATGGAATACATTGTTCCCTAAGGAACCCTGTTTTCTTTAGTGGAGACCAACATTAGAGAACAAACCTGGGTTGCTAAGGGCACATGTCAGATTGTTACACATGACTCCTGGAGCTGGACAGGATGGCAGTAGAGAAGAGGCTACGGAGAACATTGTAATGAAAGCAGAATATGAGCTTTTTCTTTAAAGGTTGTGAGTTCATTTTATTTCTAAATCAGGTGAGTTTTTGCTCTAATATGAAATC